ATCCATGACTTTGACACTCAGGTACAAACACAGCAGAAACCAAAGGGCTTTATTAAGTGTCAAAGCTGAATCACTGATTCAAGGTCAGATTCATGGTTACACTACTAGATTATACCACTTCTAACTTGTATTTGTGACATTGAAGTAATGTAAACAAGTTCAGATCGCTAAACAATAATACATTTGTAAATAGCAAAATATTCATTAAGCGTGTGTGTGTACTTGTATGGCTATATTTTGAGTAACAGTTTGATTTTTATATGATGGGTGTGAAGGTATTTTCAGAAAATGAGGATATGTTGGGCAGCCCTCATGTTCTGACAGATCTTCAAATGTCTGTTTGAGAGTTAGGGCTTGATTTTAGAATACGAATCAGGATTAGGCTACGGTTCTGTCTGGGATTAGGCATTTTAGTTGTGATAGCTGTGGTTAGGGTATTGGTCTAGGAAATATATTAAGTCACTGGCAGGACTCACAAAGATGTGTGTGTGTATGCATGTGTGTTTTTAAAATGTAAAGTAAAACGCACAACTTACATTACACTCCATTTTCTTCAAAACAGTTTATACAACTAGCAGCTGTGGATTTGAAACAGTGTTCAAAGTTACTTCCCTTGGGGTCAGGCTCACACTTACACCACACACACACACACACACACACACACACACACACACACACAGCCAGCTGTTTCCTTCTCTATGAGGGTATGCAAGAAACAAGAAAGGGTAAAATATTTGTCCTTCTGGTCAGAATAACAAAAACATACTGATCTGCTCTTAAATCTTCCCATTTTGTTATATTTATATAATTACATTGCTTGATAGAATTGCAAAGCAAAACAATCATCTGCAGTGGTTTCATGTTAATTGACAGGTTAGCCACAGAACTGCAGTGTGTGTGAAGAAATGCAAGGGGTGTCTTTGCTTTCTCGATGAGCTCACCAGTGTGCTTCACAGATGATGTTTGATACCAAAAGAGAATTGTACCTTCATGGCTGTACAAGTCACAGTCACAAGAACTGTTTACCCGTGCATTCATATCTCCCCTCTGAGACAGATAACCTACTGGGGTTTTCCTGTAGATTTTATGACACCTCACACCTTCACATGAAGATTGCCTCAGTATTAGCAATAGATTGTTTTTATTTGTTTGTTTTTAATGTCTTATATTTCATCATAACCCCCTTCAAGATTTCATAAAAACTAAAAGCAAACTGTGCTTTCAATACAAAAAATTAGAAAATAGATAAAATTAAATTAAAAAAAAAATCTTGATTCATCTGTCTGTTTTTGCAGATTTGCACAAAAAGCCAGAAAACAACATTTACTCTGTCAGAGATCCAGACTAGACTGCTGTACTCACGGAGACAGATATTTGGAGTCTCCTCTGTCTAATGGAGAAAATATAGTCTTATGTGTCCCAGTGGATCTGTTAGACATTTATACTCTCAGTGAGCTGGATATAAATAAAGAGCTCCTTTGGATGGAGCGGTCATGATTGTTCCTGGGCTAATACAAATAATAAGCCATAGTCACACCACAAAATGTACCACAGAATAGACTGCAGGTAGGAGTAATAAAAGGTTCATTAATGATTCACTGATCTATTCTCCTGTTCATGGCTGTGGTCAGGGCAGTCTGTACATGACCAGGACCCTGTTTAGTTGGCACACAAAGCAGACTAACACATCTCCAGGTGAGCGTAGCAGCCTTTGAACCAAGATCAAACAGGTATGATATTATGCAATGCTGTGCTTTCTTTTAGTATTGGAGAACAAACTGCAGTATTAGAAAAAGATGCAACTTTTTGGATGCTGTAGTATTAGGAGTAACATTATGATACACAGTCATAGCTTAGCGTTCCTATATTTGCTTACAATTGTTGGGTTTTACTTGTATATGAAGAAGCATCTGGGTCTGGATATTGTTTATTAAGATTATTTTCTGGCATTCTGCCTGCTGACAGTGCAGAGAGACAGGAAGCATGAGGAGGGAGACAGAGTTATGCAACACAGGTCTCCTGTTCAGGTATCATACTGTGGATGCTGTGCATGTGGCATGCGCCTTATCCATTTTGCCAGCTTATGGTCCTATAGCTGCATTCTGAATCATCTTTCAGTATGCAGGAGACTATGTGCGTGCATCCTATCTCCTCAGCAAGGCTTACAGCACTTCCATCACATCTGAGTGATGACAGGGACAGTGAGTCTGTTCTCTGTAGATTAGCACTG